TGTGACCTGGGTCATCACCCTCTCCCAGCCCCAGAGCATGTATGGCCATCTGAAGGGACCCGAGAGTAACTTCTCCCCTTGCTGGATACCCATTCTTTCTTCCCCTGAAGTGGTGTCCTTGGGGAAGCCCCCAAGGTCTAGGCTGTGTCTACATCCAGCTATGGTCTGTGGTCAGTGGGTACTGCACAACTCAAGACATGTCCCTCTGTGGACAGCGGGGCTGTTACACCTGCCATCATAGCCCTGTTTGACACTCAGAGGCCCCTCCACGACAATGGCTCCTACATCCACCCAGGGCCACAGGCAGACTTAGGGATGCCTGCCCTCTTCAGCTCCTACTCACCGTGTCTAAGGAATCAGTGAGGACCTGGCAGTGGGACACCGAGATCATCAACCCTTCCAGATCCCTGCAGTTTCACGCAATGTGTCATGCCCTGACCAGTCTCCCCGACTTTCGACTTAGCCACTGTCCTTCCTCTCCCTGATCTCACCAAATCAGGGGAAGTGTCAGTGTGTGTGGTTGTGAAGCAAACATAATCCTTTAGCTTCCCTGTTCCAGAGGCTTCTTGTGGTACAGGGTTAAGCACCTGTTTCTCCCTCTGGAAGCCGGGACCCCTCCCTCTCTTACAGAGACCAACAGCTGTGTATGTGGCTCCCTGACTGTTTGCAGGAGCCTCTTCTTCCTAGCCTTAACTTCCTCCTCAGCCATCTTCCCTGTGGGGCCTCCTGGGTTCTCCCTGAGCACTGACATCAGGGTGGGGAGGGGACATGCAGGGCTGGCGCTCTCTGAGGAATTAAAGCACAGAGAACTGGGGCAGAGGAACCAGTAAGGCCTGGGAGATGAGAGGGAGCAAGGCAGAAGCCTGAGGGGCCTAAGGAGCTGCCCAAGAGCAGGGCAGGGTGCTTCACTCCTGACATTTTGTTTTCTGAGACAGGGCTTTATGTAGTCCAGGCTGGCCTGGAACACATGATCCTCCTGCCTCAGCTTCCAGTATGTTTGGTTGGTTTGTAGGTGTTTGCTGCCCAGTACTCATGGACGAGGGGATCAAATATCTTCTTTCCCAGAGCCAAAATGATCCCAGTTTGTTCCTCCACTGGCTTCAAAGTACAGGATCCTGTTCTCTGCAAGAGTCATTAGGAACCAGGGCTGAGTGCGCTCAGGGCGTTGCGGTTCTTTGGGAAAAGGGCTCGTCCTATGCACCTGCTCTGTGGTTTCCTTGCAGGTCTGAGCACCTGCAGTTGGGGTTTCAAAAATCACTAGTGAGGCCAAACAGAAAGAGGCTCACAGAGCCCAGAGACCCAAGAAGGTCCAGCTATCTTCTCAGGCAAGGCACACTAGGCTCCAGATACTCCCCACACCGACCATCTCCACTGAGGGAGACAGAGCTGCTGGAAGGCGTGTGCTGTCTCAGATCATGTGTACCAGTGTCCACTCCCACTGCACAGAGACAAACAAATGGCCTGCTGGAAGGACAAGCAGAGGCTGCCGTTCACAGAGGCCGTGGATGCTCACATTCACCTCAAGCATATGGCTAGCATTGCTCCGGAAAAAGCCCTTTTTTTTTTTTTTTTTTTTTTTTTTTTTTTTTTTTTTTTTTTTTTTTTTTTTTTTTTT